CAAAACAAAAGCATCCTGCAGCAGTTTTTCAATCAGGTGAGTTTATTTTGATTTTCATCATTTAATCGAAACTAATTTAATTCCTGTTAGTAAAAAGCCTCCGTTGGTCATGTTAACCAACGGATGCGTGCGTTCGGGTAAAACCTGATACTGCCGCATGAAATTCTCACTTAATTTCACATTGGTTACATCTTTCCGACTCACAATCGAAAAATATAAATCCTGTAAGGGTTCACGTATGGCGCTGTATATAACAAAACTCCGCGAGGGTTTCAAATAGTCTAGAAACTGTGTAGTGATACTCATCGGGTGTTCCTTCGCGATGATTATCAACCCGTCGACACCCTCGCGTAATATCTCACATGCGGATTGATTATTGTATTGCCATTGAGGTCTTTTTGGCTTTTAACCTCAATATTATCAGTATCATGTTGTAATTTTCGCTTACCGCTGGATTTCTCATCGAATTCCTTCTGTTGGTCTTCAGGGAGAACATAATCTCCCTCCGTGCTGCGGTTTTGTATCAACCAACGCAGGACAGAGTGTATATTCACTGATATACACCGATTATACTGCTCTTCGGGGAGTTTCATCGCTTGTAGACACGTGCGTTGATTCTCATTCATCGGATATAAATAAACCAACTTTCCGTTGTTGTCCGGACCGATTCGTTCCATAATCGCGGCTGGTAACAAGCCATTTGTGCCGCTATCGTATAAAATAAACCTACCACCGGATTGTACATTGCTGTAATTTAGGATTTGTGATAGGTCATCCATGCGCACGCCTTGAGTTTTTTCTAATTTGAAGAAAATATTCGCGAGTAATCTTATGCTGGGTTTTCTTACAGTGATATACCCGTAGTATTTCTTCTGCTTTTTCTTTAGGTATTTTTCTTGAGAGAATTCGGTCTTTTGATCGAATGTTTTTGAGTTTGTGATGAGTTTTTCCAGGATTTCTTGGCTGGTGTTTTCTTCACGGAGTTTTTCGATTTGTTCCTTTGATAGTGTTTGAGATGTGCCGTCGTCTTGGATGTTGCGGTTATCTGCGCCGGATTCTTTTATGTCGATTGTACTGTAGTGTTCTACACTGTCGACTTTTTCCAGTGTGTAGGCATTGTTTGATTTGCGTACCATTTTGAAGTTGTCCATGAATTTCTCGCCGATCAACGCGGAGCATTCGATGTTGTTAATGCCGAGTTTAACGGTGTTGCGTTCTTTCACGCGGTGGAGTTTCATGTA